CTGTTCTGTCCCTGTTCTGTCCCTGTTCTGTCCCTGTTCTGTCCCTGACCTCCCTTGGCCATTCCTCTTCAAGTGTGAAGAATCCTGCCCAGCCATATGTGGATGTGTTCTGTTGGCTAAGTGCACAGGCAAAAAAGCCTTCGTGGGTGGAAGTTGCCACTCATGGAATTGTTTTGTGTTGAAACCATGTTTTGACCCCGTGCTTTTTAGTGGTGCTTAATCATACTGCTCCTCTTAGTGGTACCTCCTGTTAGAACAGCAGCCAGTTGAGTTATGGGTATCAGCAGGACTTGAAAAACTACCTGTCAGTGCTCTGAGAAAAAGTATAGTAGCCATTAGGTAGAAACTAAGGGTGGCTGTGTTGGTGGTAACACTAGCCTCAGAGGCAGTAACTTTGGCAATGAGGTTAGTGTGCCTTGATGGTAAGCCATTGAACGTGAACTTCCAGCGCTCACATACTGGCAAAGGTTTCTTCTGTTTGTTGTGTACTAATGGGGAAGAGAGACTTGGTTCTTAGAGGTGGTGAAGCTCTGGTACAGTAATCTCAGTTAAGAGGTTATGGGTGAAGAGTTAAAGAATTTTGTAAATTTGGAATGATTTAATTATGCTGGAAAGTGCAGTTCTTGTACAGCAGTACCTGCAACCATGGTGCAAGAACTGTCATGGTTTAAAGAAATTCATGGCACGTGTGGAGGAAAGTTCTCCATCTATGGCTCATGTCTAGAGGCCTTGCTTTTCAGTTCTAAAAAAGAAAAGAAAAATCCTCTTTTATTGATAGTTTTTAGGAAGTTGAGTCTCCGTTCAACACTGCAGAGTTTTGAAATATTCTTGATAGTGGACTTGCATAGGAGAAGGGAATCAAATGTCATGAGGGTTTGGACTATAATAAACACAAAATGACACGAGGAGGTTGAAGTCAAAAACTGGTATTGCATGGTGTGATATGGCTGCTTTTTCTTTTCTTTCCTGAGACTTGAAAGTCTGGACTAAATGGATCGTGTGTGCTTTTCTTGGAGCTTGAATCATAAGCTTCTTCTGTGGCCTGTGCTGTGCAGGAAGTCACGTTTCTTAAAGGCAGTCCAAGTCATCAGGGTAATAAATGGGATGGTGGCAAGTGCAGCGAGTGTGCGGGTGGGTTTGCCTGAACGTTTGGTCTGTAGGCAGCTCAGGTAATCCTGTGGTCGAGCTCTGATATTTCCTAAGATGGCCACTAGACCTGTGTTGCTGCATCACAGTGAGCTGTGTTCTTTGTTGAGAAATAGCTGGGAGTACCTGAGGGCTTTCTGCCTGCTAATTGTCTGATAGCACAGAATCACAGAGCGGCCAGGGTTGGAAGGGACCTCAAGGGTCACGAATGCCCAGCCCTGTCCGCAGGCAGGGCCACCAACCTCCCCATTTCACACCAGACCAGGCTGCCCAGGGCCCCACGCATCTGTGTTGTTCGCAGCTGTGGTTGGTTGCTGCTTGGTGTCACATTCTTTACCAGCTCACTGGGCGAGCTTCATTCCAGGCTTGTTGGAAATAGCTGCCGAGAGGCTGACGTGTGAACTGTGCTAATGCAGTAACGACTCCTAAGCAAGAGCACAACACTGGGGTTCTCCCTCTCAGCTGCATTGTTTTTTTTTCTTTCAGGTGTCCTGAAAAAATGGCTGATGATATTGATATAGAAGCAATGCTTGAAGCTCCTTACAAGAAGGTGAGAAAAACGTGCCAGTGAGGTCCTGTTTACCTTAATTTAGCATTATTCATGAAACTACTGCTGAACTGTAAACTAACATCCCTGGAGCCCTCATGATTTGTCTTATTGGAGATGCATTACATGTAACTTGCAAGTAAATATGTGCTGTTAATGTAATTATATTGTGCAGTAGTTTCACTTCAGCGTGATGAATAAATGCCCATCTATCTCTCTTTGTAGACTTGCCTAACGATATCTCACCTCTACTCCCATGAATTCACCTTTGATTCCAGTGTGAACTGTCAATCATAAGGTAGTAATTGAGTGACGTATCGCTGTACCGTGGTCCCCTAGGTTAAAAAAAAAGAAAGAAAAAAAAGAAAAACAAAAATAAAAACAAGAAACAAAAACAACCAACCAAAAAAAAAAAATTACCCCCCAAAACAAGAAATCTCTCCTAAAATTGCCAGGTCCAGTTTGGTATAGCAACAAGGTGAATGCAGTGGTTTGGGAAAACAGCAGGGTTCCAAGAATAACCTTTTCACCAGTCCCATGGCAAGTAAATATTTGAACAGTCTGCTGAGGGCAAGAAGTGAGACTTGCTCTTACTGCAGAAGGCTGGTGGTGGTTAATCTTTTAACAGAGCAGGTGGAAATCAATTGCTGAGTGAACAAATTTACCTAAATTCTTGGATCCCTGAACAGCCCGTTCTTAGCAAGTAAAAGACAGTATCACAGTCTGCACTGTTGTTCCAGACAATCTCCTGTATCCTCTGTCCTAGTTGTTCAATTAAGACGTGTCAATTCTGATGCAAAATTCTTACCGATGAGTGTAGCGATGTCTTTTGCCTAAACCAGCAGCCAATGAATACTGTCTTTTTTGTTTTTCACCAAGTGGTGGTGAAGTGTTAACATCATGCATGCTTTAGCACTGGTTTCTCAAGTAACGTGTATCAAACTTGAGGCATTTAGGAATTGTACTTCTGATGTAACCCATGTGATTAAATTGTAAAGCGAGTATATAAATTATACAGCAGCTATTGTTAGTCTGTTCTGCAGTGTTAATTACAACCGTGTCGTGAATTTTGAATGAGCACTGTAAGTTTTAAATTGTGTATTTAGTTCATGTAATATTTAGTAGTTATATAAAGTCTTGAAGAGAAAATTGTGAATTGTTATGTTGAAATTCTTGTGGTTTCCTGGTTTAACATGGATATTTTCCATGTAAACAGGTATGGAAATAGGGAATGTTTAGGCTGGACTGGTGGATTATTGATGACTTTCTTGGGAGTCGACGTTACTAAAGCAGTGTGAATCCCTGTTTGCTTCAGGGCGAGATGTGTGACAGAGGTGGCATCAAGCTCTTACAACCCTTCAACGAAAATGAGCGAAGATCTCGGGAATGGCATCGGTCACAGGAATGGATAGTGGCTGGCTGCTAGCGCAGCCACTGGGGTTAGGCAGAGCTGTAGCCTTGGTGCTGGTCTGAGGGGCACACAAACCTGAAGCTTCCTCTTACGTTTTATAGACATAACTTTTAACCACTTGAGTGCTGAATTCTACAGGATAACTTACTCTCTAAACCATGTAAGGAAGTATCTACAATTTAATACACGCTTTTAAACGATGTAAGTTTTGTATTTCGTAGTTGTATGATCTAAATTTAAGCAGCAAAGTGGTTAAACATGCCTACTTAAATTATCTAAAGCTTTCCACGTTAAACTCTAAACAAGTAATTTAGTATTAAAATTTTTGTTTTGTATTTTCTTATTCCTATTCCCATTACCCTTTGACCACTTGAAATGTTTCCGCTTCGTCCTCACGATGTTCTTCTATCAACCCTGCTTAGGATGAGAACAAATTGAGCAGTGCCAACGGCCACGAGGAGCGCAGCAAGAAGTGAGTGCCCTCGTGCTGTGGGAGGGGCGGGGGCTGGTGGAGCTGTGGGATGCGCCGGTGGTAAAGGAAGTGAACTGGGAAGGCTTGGCATTGGCAGCAGGGGGAATTATGAAGTTTTCTTTTGTGTGGATGTAGTTACATCCTTGTGATACCACCAAATTCGTGGATACGTGTATTGTTTTAGCAGCAGATAAAAATACAGACTTGGGCGGTTCTGCACAATTCATCTCCTATATTTTTTTGTATCTTTAGCTGTGCATTTAAGTCTTTTGTGTGAAATCTTAAGCAATTTAGAGCAGTGCAGACAGAAGATCGGATTGCTTTCTTGAAAAGGTTCCATATTGGGTTCCACATCAACTTCCCTCCCCTTTTCCATCCCAACATTTTCATTGCTACTCATATTCTCAACTGAGTATTGAGTCTTTCTTTGACTTTTTTGTACAACATCTGTTTTAAGCAACTTCTTAAATTACATGAAAACTTTCAGAAACAGATTGCAAGCATGCTTTCTTCAGGAAGCATTGCTGAAGTTCTTACCTAGTCAGTGCCTTACTTTAAGGTTCTGTTTATCATCACATTTTGTAAACGTAGTTCTCATAATAAATACGCCTATATTTCAAGGCCATAATATGGACTTGAAACCCCATCAAAATCAGCTGATCATAATATTTGAAGTTCTGAAGCTTTATTTATGTTTTTTTAAAGCATATGTAAAACTCTTGCTTCTGTTTCAGTGGCCAGCTCCCAAATTAAAACTGAGGTAGGAAGAAGGATAATGCTTCCTGAATTTCAGAAGTGGTTCTGACCTCTCATTTCAGTTTCAATTGAAATACTCAGGTGTTCATATATGTTAGCATGGCCTGCTGCTGTTGTGGAGGAGGACCTGGGGGTCCTGCTGGGTGAAAAGCTGGGCATGAGCCAGCAGTGCCCCGAGCTGCACTCAGGGGAGCAGCAGGGTCAGGGGGGGTTGTCCTGCTCTGCTCTGCCCTTATGAGGCCCCACTTGCACTACTGTGTCCAGGTCTGAGATGTCATCGACTTGTTGGTTTGCCCCAAATGTACAAGAACCATGGATGTAGAAAAGCAAATGGCTCAGCAAGGAGAGGAGTAGCAGCTTGATTTTGAAAGAGGAAGCAAAGCTCTTAGTGTTAAAGGTGGTGACAGACAGTGTCAGGAGAAAAGTCTTTATTTTCCTCAAACTTTGCTATCCTATTGTGATGTTGGGTATTTTATTCCCCAGTCCTGTTCCTCTAACTGAGAACATGCTTTGGTGTCACAGAATTAGATTGGAAAGAAGTGCTGCAGAGCACTTGATCTTGTTCATTATGGATTTTAAGATTCCTGATGTTTATCCACCCCTTCTACGAAAGTCCTTGTACACATAGCAGGATGTAGCAACTTTCCACATTAACGCTCGTGGCATTAAGTTAGAGGAGCTGAGGAATGTGGATAAATAACAGGAGGGGTGACCCAGAGCTGCGCGTGTAACCGAAGGTGTGTTGTTTTTTAATCTTCTCAGGAGAAAAAAGAGCAAGAGCCGAAGTCGAAGCCATGACAGAAAGAGGAGCAGAAGCAAGGAGCGCAAACGGAGCCGGGATCGGGAAAGAAAAAAGAGCAGAAGCCGGGAAAGGAAGCGGAGCAGAAGCAAGGAGCGCAGGCGCAGCCGTTCCAGGAGCAGGGATCGCAGATTCAGAGGCCGCTACAGGAGTCCCTAGTAGGTCATCAGCACACAGTGCTTGCATGCTCCCTTGGCGTGTGATGTGAGAGCTTGAAGTTTGTCTGCCTGCTTTCTGCACTGCTTGTTAATCATCTCAGAAAAGGGACTGCGAGGTTCAGACTGAAGGTGGTGTCAATAAGTATGGATTAAAAAGAGGACGGTGGTAACATATTGTGTTCCTCTTGCTAGTTTTCCCTCTTATCACGATGTAAAGAAGCAAAAACAAGTGAAAGAATGCGTAAAACTACCTGGGAAACAAATGCAAAAATGAAGTTTTATTTCAGACCTAAACTGCAGAGCAAGTTTTTTACATCCTAAATGCTTCAGTACATATTGGAAGGATTAACTGTTTACAAAAAAAAAAAAAAGACTTGTGTTTCAGGCTCATAAAACCCTTTGCTTTTTTAACTGAAATTTCTTACTGGATTGTTCCTCTTTATATGTTTACTGCAGGGCTGTTTTATGCATCCAAACTTAGAAATGTTTTGTCTAGTAGTGTCCATGTGCTGTATGCTTGCCTTGCCTTTTCTCAGACTTAGTTGGAGGTGTGGAAGTATTCTTCAGAGCCTCTGTTCTTTGGCTTGATGAGACTTCTGCTGTAGGTGGTTTGTGGCGGTTGGCTTTGGCTTCTCAGATGCTGTTTTTTTCACTGGTGGTATTTGCTTAAGGTTTCTGCTGTTGTATATTCCTGCCCTGCTCTATGCTCCTCCCATCACCTCTTTTAGTCCTCAGTGAAGCAGCCAAGCAGTGAGAACTGGGCTGCATGCTTGGTTTTTCTCAGCTACCTGCAGGTGCTGCTTGTGCAGGCTTTGGTCCGGGTTTCATCCCAGCAATTGCCAAACCCTGGAATGCAAGGTAATGTCAGAAGCAGGTGCTAGGAGAAGATGTTTGTTGGGTTTTTTCCTTCTTTTTGCAACAAGTGATGTCACTTTCTTTGGAGAAATCCATCAAGATTTTTGCAAAAGTGTCTTTTCCTTTTTGATATTCTGTAAGCTTGTACAGTTCTCTGCAAACTGGATTTTTTTATCCTAGGTGGCTGGGTCCTTCTGCAAGGAGTGCGTTCCTTTGGGTGCTCTTGGAGTGCAGGCAGAAATGCTGGAGGTCAGGTCTCATTTTGCACGAAGCCCCCTTGATGTTGGCAGTCTTCATGCTGCAGATGTGGTGCATCTCTGGGGTGTGCCCGGCATTCCCTGTTTTTTTAGCCCTTTGTACTCAGAGGTCACAGCATAGCAGCCTCGCTTTTGCTTTATCTCTTTTATAGGGCTTTTTGCAGCTTTGTAAACCTGATCGGGGCTTCAGCTCTGAAGTTTGCAACAGTGCACAGCTGGTTTGTTTTCTACAGCTCTTTGGCACCTGTACGATCACAGGAGCTGCCTGGAATTTGTCAGTGCCACTGTTGCTGCTCCAGATTGCCTCTAAGTGCAGGAGTCCTAGACAAGATCTTCCACCTTTCAGAGGTAGAACCTGCTGGGGCCTCTCTTTGTGGTGCTGTTGCTCATGTAATCAGCTGGGAGTTTCTACATCCTCTTGTTTGTGTGGGAGGCTTTTGCTCTCTGTTTTTTCCTGTTGTTACTGAGTGAGATAGTTTTCTGCCTGCAGACATCTGGGAGCCTTAGCATCCCGGTCTTCTGAAATGCTCTCCTGGGGCGGAGGTTGAAACGCATGTTACTGCACTAACGTGTGCCAACTTTCACGTGTCCACATGTGTTGTACCCACGTCTCTGCAGCATTGGTGCTGACTGAAGTGGACAGCAGTTAGCTGTAGTTTGCTTGTAGGTTGTGGATGATAAAAGAAAAGCCTCCTTTGTTGTCTGGAATGAGCAGAGCTGGTTATCTCAAAGATGAGTTTCTGCGTTAAAGATCTTAGTAGCAGGCAAGTCATTAGTTCTGGAGATAAAGCCTCCTGCATCATCAGCCTCCTTTCCTTGTATGCATTTGGATCTACAAAAAATAATGCTACCATACGATGACAAACTCTTTATTTGCAGTGCCATCAGCTTCACATTTCCTGAGTAACAAACAATGCTTAATGAGATTGAGATACATCAGCTGCTGCGTGGAGAATTTGGATCTGGAATCTCACTTTGTGGGGCTGCTCAGGCAGTTTGAGTTGGCATTACTGCAGGCTGTGTTGCACTCAACTGCTGCATCTAATTCAGAATGGTTCCTGTTTGTATCATTTTCCACTCTTCGTCCTCTTTAAATGACTTTTAAATTGAGGTATGTCTGCTGCTGGTGGGCATGCAGAAGCATCTGCAGTACTGGAGAGAGGTTGTCTGTGTGGTGTAGATAATTCTGAAGGAAAAGGATGGGCAGTATGAAATTCTCAGTCTTCAAGTTTTGTCTTCAAACATGAGGTAGTCTCTACATGTTGCAGTTTTTAAAAGTTGTATGCTTGGCTTTCATTGCTGAGTGTCTATGGAGCTTTCTCTGTGTTCTTTTCACTTATCTTGCCACTTAAATATTTTAAAGCTTTGTAAGACTTCTTGTGAAAAGAAGTTACCAAGTCTGCCTGCTTAGACATCAGCTGCTCCTAATGAACTCCCTTAGACTGGAACGAGAAACAAGTCTATTCTGGAGCTAAGAACTTAGACGAAGCTATGGGAAAAACAGAGTCCTGACACACACTGATGTTCATTGACTCTCTTGGCCTTTCTTGGCCAAAACCTGCTTCATCTGAGAGGCTTTTCTTGAACTCCTGGCTTCAACTGATGTGCAAGCTTTTTTTTTTTTTCAGGCTGACTTCTGACCTTGTTCTGGACTGTGTGGCATCGTGTAGGTTTAGGCAGCTGTGTGCATTGCTGTATGTGGGGCTCATTGACCTCCAGGCATACAGATAATTGCTTGTCTCAGCTCTTCCATGCACGAGAGCAGGAACTGGACAGAACTGCAAAAGAGCTTTTAGAACGGCAGATGAAAAAAGAAGAAAATTCCTTTGATTGGTAGCTTTACGAGTAGATCTCAGTAAAAAAATCCAAATTAATGCAACCCACGGATTGCTGTTGAAAAAGATCTGCAGGAGTTCCCTCAAGCTGCCACCTTGCCTCATTCTGCTTCTGAGACTCACTGTTATGTCTTCACTTTGTCTTTTTTTAATAATTAATTCCTTTGTTTCTTGCATCTTACGCTGCTTGTTTGTTGAGGGTGGAAATGAGCAAGAGATTATTGGAAGGTTAATGTTTGTTTTTTTAATTTTCTCAGCATTTGAAAACTCTCTTTACCTTCTCAGTTTTTTGCTGGTTTTTTTTTCCCTTTTTAACTAGTTTTCAGCAAAGACACAGTAAGAAAACACTTTGTGTTTCCCTGAAAGCTTGTGGTCTTAGTCACTGGCAGTTATTTAGTTGGTCTGTGTGTTAATAGTCTGAATATTGGGGTCACCGTAGTTAGTGCTGCATATGAATTGAAACAGATACCATAGTGTTCTGCAGCAGCGTGTGTGAAGATGCAGGGTAATCCCCTCTGATGAGATGCCAGCTTCTGAAAGCAGTTCTGGCATTTCCAGTGCACTTTTTCGCAGTATGTTTTGGGGGTGTTGGAGAACTTGGATGGGCGTTCTCAGCAGCTCACCCAACTGGAGTAGGAAATGCCATATTTTATCCTAGGTTGTGTTTCAGTGGGTATTTTTATCCGGAGTAACCTCAACACATTGCATATTATGTACCTGTTTTTAATGTGTTATTTTGTCTTAACAAATAGTTTCTAAGCCATCTGATTTATTTCTTTATTCCAGTGGTGCTCAGGGCCATTTTTCCCTTCCTTTAACCTGGCCAGCATGGCTCTGGATCTTAGCCCTGTCCTTCCACCTGTTACTGTGTCGTGGTGTGTTTAGAGGGGGCATCCTCCTCCTTGTTGTCAATGCTGAGCTTAACTCTCAGCACTGCTGCTTTCCTGAGTAGCAAGACAACCTGGCTGGCTACGTGGACTTAGTGAAGGATTATGTGATATCTTCAGACTGCTGTATTTTTCAGGGTGTCTTCACATCAATTTATATCCACAGCAGAAACAGTTCTGTGTGAAGGGGCAGAGTCCTCTGCGTTCAGTCTGTCGTGTTGTATCTGACATTCAGTGGATGTGGAGGAGGAGGGTTAACAGGTGGCATTTTTTGCCTTGTACCTAGAAGGAGATGAAGTTCAGGGAGAGCACAGTAGTAGGAATTTACTGTTCACAGCACAGTCTGTTACTCTGCCACAGGAACTCGCAAGAGGGCTGCCTTGCTGCGGGCAGATTGCCATTGGTTGTAACTGCTGTGAAGCCTGCAGAACTAAAATTAGATTCAGCCAAGAGATGGTGGCGTATCTATATAAGGTTAACTACTGCTTAAATGGTTCTGTGCTTTGATGTCCATTCAGAACTGAAAGGAAGCTTTAGTTACATCTCTGTAGTGAATGCAGCAGAGGCAGCGCTAGCAGTGCCCAGGATGTTTCCTTTGCAGATATCCGTGGGGAGCTGCTTCACTTTCCACTTGCATCTTCAGTCTCATCTCGGTTTTGGTTTTAAGATGTCATACTGGAGTCCTGCCTGCACCTGTCAGTGAGGTGTGCATGTGGGCAGGTGTATCAGTAAGGGGGGGACAGCAGCCCTCGCTCACAGTGCCTGTGCACATGTGTGCCACAGCTCTGGCTTCCCTTCTTCTCGGGGTCCTGCGTGTGCTGAGGTGTGCGGAGGTGTGCTGAGTGTGCATGCGGTGGGGGCTGCTGGCGGGCAGTGCTGGCAGGGCCAGGTGCACGGGTGGGTGAGTGCTGTCAGTGTGATGTCAGTACAGACAAAATCTTGAATTGAGGTGCTCTGGTAAGTGACGTCTGTCTTTGCTTTTGCCGTAGTTCTGGTCCCAAATTCAACAGTGCCATCAGAGGGAAGATTGGTCTGCCTCACAGCATCAAATTAAGGTTTCTGAGTTTTCTCTACTTTTTATTGCATCGTTAATAGGTTTTGTTTAAAATAAGACCGTTATGCTTGAAGTGTTTTGGTAACCTTGTTCTTATCTCTTTACAGCAGACGGCGTTCCAGAAGCAAAAGTCCCTTCAGAAAAGACAAGAGCCCTGTTAGGTAGCTATTTTTATGTGCTTTTTTTCCCCCATCGATTGAAGGAAGAAGTGTAATGATGAAATAGTGTGTGACTGACTGCTCAGCTATCCAATTAAAGTCACAAGTGGTGCTGGAATTCATCATTCAGGAAGCCCAATAAATGAGAACATGGAGAAATGTTGCTTTTTTTCCCGTGTCATCCCCTCCCCTTCCCTCTCTCCAGTTTTTGGTGTACCATTGTGAATAACATCAATTTGCAAAACGTGTCTGGCCTTAGTTTTCATGTTTTTGTGTTAATTCTAATTTAACTTACCTAGCATTCCTACTAAATATTACTAAACACAGAACGGAAAAGTGCTGCTGTTTTTTTCCTACCCATTGTTGATGTTATTTGTGGAGTAGTAACTGAAATCCAGAAAGTGCTTATCCATTCCTAAGCTTCCCAATTAAGGAATTTGTATTTAGATTGCTGCTAATTAGATTTGTTTAAATTTAAGTATATTAATTTAGAGAATAGGCTTGCATGGTTTTTATTAGCAAAGTGAGATAATTTAATTAAGCTTTCTTGTGTTTTCTCAGGAAGGTTTTAAAATATAGATATATCTAAATAAATACGTTATGCTACTGGAAGCTCAGTCTAGAATCAGGCCTGCTAATTCTATCCTGTGCATAAATGCAAGCCAGGTTTTTTTTCTGCTGCTCTTTCCAGTTGAAGCTTTAACGTTTCAAATGTAGTGTGTCTGATTGCAGCTGTTGTTCAGTTGAAATCAGCACTGATCCTGTCTGTGGGATGGCAGTAATTATTTGCTATTCAAGTGTTTGCTTTTTTGGGAGGAGTGTTAGCAGCCACAAGCAGTGAGGACTGGGAGCTGTTGGTGTAGATGTCAGTGTTTGTGCAGTGCCTGGAGTGACTCCTGAGTGACTGGCTATAAATAACTTAGTTTGCAAAGCTCATCTGAGTGTGCATTGGTGTGCTGATTAATGCTGTGCTCTTCATTTTCCTATCATCTTTTACCACAAACTTGTCAGTATGGTGCTCTTCTCTGTTCGTGACAGTAGCAGAATGGCAGCTCCTGTGTAGCTGGGGCTTCTGAGTTTGGAATACTGATTTCCAGTCATACTCAAGTTCAAGGTGAAAACAAGAAGTTTAGTCATGTTAAATATGATTGCATTAATATTAGGTGTTCACCTCTTGGCACCTACTTTTTTTTTAATATTGCAGGTATTTTTTCACTGTTTGACTTCAAAATGCTTGTGTTTAAAGTTTCATGCATTGCAAAGGTTACCTTATTCAGATTTTTTTTTAAATGCATCTTTCTTCTTTCCAGAGAACCTATTGATAATCTTACCCCTGAAGAGAGGGATGCTCGAACAGTGTTCTGCATGCAGCTAGCTGCAAGAATTCGGCCAAGAGACCTGGAAGAATTTTTCTCTACAGTAGGGAAGGTAAGTAATAAGGAGGTTGAAGAGATTCTGAGTACTTGGTCAAGTGTCTCTAGCTAGGGTGGGTATTGTGCTGAGTGACAAGGAGGAGTCTTTCAGGAGAGTCCTGGGGCGTGCATGATTTAAGGCTCTGAGCGTGGGGAAGTAGTTGGTCAGTTTACTGTTGGGTGTGCAGTGTGATGCAAAATGCAAGGAAGCAGCTGTGGTTCAGATAACTTCATTTTCAGAACTTTGAGTCTCCTGCAGGTAATCTGCTGCCGGTTGAAGTGTAATTTCAATTTCAACTTTCAGTTTTAAGAAATAGCATTTTTCAGCAGTTTTACCAGCTGCTAGGTTCTGGCTTAAAGCATTGCAGAGCTGCAGGTATCTGCTGACCTTTTTCCTAAAAAAAATACTGCATTTGACTCTGAATTGTAGTTTTTAGTGCTAGCTTTCCTCCAGGATTTGTTTGTTCAGAGGGTTTGATGCCACCCAAGATTTGCAGCATAATTACGCAGCCACTGATTGATTTGGCTGGTAGTTGCTTGTTAGTATGTCTGAAAGTAAACTGCTTCAGCTTCTTTCCTGGTGCAGCTCTGTCTGTAACAGTGTGTCTGTGCTTGTCTTTCAGGTGCGTGATGTGCGGATGATTTCTGATAGGAATTCCAGGCGTTCAAAGGGAATTGCTTATGTGGAATTCGTTGATGTTAGTTCAGTGCCTCTGGCAATAGGACTCACTGGACAGAGAGTCCTGGGCGTACCAATCATAGTGCAGGCATCACAGGTAAGGACTTAACACAGTTAAAAGCTTGGTTTTTTTAACTGGTGACTTGTTACCTTGCTGGAAAAGTTGGTGTTTGAAGTTGGTCACCAGTGAACATGCAAAAAGCCTTACCAGTAATGATCATATGGTTTAAATGTAGAAATTGACCTTGGTTCCCAGTAGCTGACATGCAAATCAAAGGTGCATTTTGAAAATACTGGTGTTAATAGTGTTACTTTTAAAAATCATAATATAATAATAATGATACACATAGTGTGCTTTCCAACAGATGTGAAAATCAAAATGACAGTTTACTAAGTGCAAGCCAGAATTCTGCACAAAGTTGTTCAGCTTGAAGATTTTAGGGAATTACATCTCTGTATTTGGTCATGGTCTTTGCTTTTGTATTTTGAGTTGACTACCTGGCCGTGCAGACTATAAACCAGTTGAGTTTGGTAGAAGTATTTTTTACTTATTTTAGGGTTTTTCAGTATTATTGTATTCGTACAGAATTTACCGATGTTTTTTCTTGTTTTTCTTTCTCCCTGCAGGCAGAGAAAAACAGAGCAGCAGCAATGGCAAACAACCTGCAGAAGGGCAGCGCTGGCCCCATGAGGCTCTACGTAGGGTCGTTGCACTTCAACATCACTGAAGATATGCTTCGAGGGATCTTCGAGCCGTTCGGCAGGGTATGCTGTGATTTGGCACTGTGGGCTTGTGGTTGATCTGAGCTTTCAGACAGCCTCTGGAAAAAATTCAGTCTCACAGGCACCAAACGTTGTCATTTTCTCACTGCTGTGTACCTACATTCTGCACCACAAGGCTGCAGGCATTGAGTTAGCATTTCAGGACAAGTGAGGGCCTTGACTGGAGACATGGTCCAGTGATATGAGTGTAGGCCTTATGTGAGAGAGCTTGAGAGTTCAGTGAGTTCCTGAAGTTCCCCAGAATCAGGCCTTGGTCTGGTTCACAGTGAATCTGTAGTAGTGTAATCTGTTTCTGAATACTTATTTATTTATTAGTAACTCGTGTTGCCAACCTTTGCTGTGTCACCTGCTGCTGTGATGTAGGCTTCTGTCTTTACACTCTGATCAGCGACTTTCAGTTTATAGCATGGTAATGTTTCCTTACAATTATGAAAGTGAGGAGATTGAATCTGAACTTTCCATCTTAAAAAAAAAAAAAGTTAAACACTGGTGCAGCACTGTGCTGACTGTTGCATTGAGGGTATGTCAGTATTGGTAAGGAGAAGGTAATACATTTCATACGCTGCTTAGGTATGTTTTTTATCAAGCCTGTTGATGATTTTCATACTGTTTTAGAACAGCAGCCTTGTTTTGTACATTCTGTAACCTCACTTTTTAGATCTTTGTTCAGTTTTTTGTGTGTATCCCTTTAATTCTGTTATGCAAAAGTCTGGAAAGTTGCAGCAGTTGGTTAAATTGTAATCCATGTGGCTGCTCTGTTGTTTTCTCCCAAGGTCTGGCAGTAGGGTTAAACAGACCAGGAGGATTTACAGATAGCTGTGCACGAAGGTTTTTCTTCCCAGTCTTCGGTTCAGCTCTCTTCAGCCACTATTTCGTGGCTCGTGGATGACTTTCTCGTGTTTAAATTCAGTAACTATGGAATGTTAGGGATTACAGTATACCTGATCATTGAAAACAGGCACACTTTTCTTAAAGCCCCTGGCCAGTCATGCAAACTGCTTTTCTTCATAAATTGGGTTTCCTCAGCGTATGGGACGCCCTGTGTTGTTTCATGGCCTTGGTGTTTACTGCTTCTGTTCATGTGTCAGAGTGCACATCTTGCTGCTTCTATGCTAATGTGTATTTGAGGGAAGAATTAAGAACTTAAAACCAAAAAAGAACAAAAAGAAACCCAGACATGGTTTCTCATTAATATGTGTATGTTTGTCAGGGCTGTACATGTGTGTTATTTGATATCTTGTTCTGTTCCAAACTGTTGGATTGTAAACAGGCTTATTCTTTTTTTAGATTGAAAGTATTCAGCTGATGATGGATAGTGAAACTGGACGTTCCAAAGGATACGGATTTATTACGGTATGAGTGGGGTTACCAGACTTGTTGGGCAGCTTTGAGCGTAACCTTCTCACACAGCAGTGCAGGTTACTCAAACCTTGCTTAGAAATTTCTGTTGCAGGATGTGCAGCAGTGGTCTGTTTTTTTCTGCCAGTTCTCTGTGGGTGACGTGATTAAATGATGCACGTGTACAGATAGGAATAGCATAGCTGATGGTCAGTGCCTGCAGAGCAGTGCTATTCCTGGCGGGCGAGTACACCTGCCAACACTGACTTTCTCATAGTGTCATTGAAATCATGGAATTACAGATTTTTATTCTTTTTTTTTTTTTTTTTTTGGTGACATCAAATTCCAGAGGCTGAAATTTTTGGTTAAAAACATCTTAATCTTGGCTCTCAAATACCTAATTTTGTGAACGGAGCAATTTGTGATGAAAGCAACATCAGAGGCCTCTGGCACTTGGAGACCAATGAAACAGACTTCATAGCTAATATATGATGTCTTAACACAGACAGCAAGCACGTGTTTTTGATTGGGCGTGCGTCCTGACACAGATCATTTGCAAGAGCAGCCAGCAGATGCGTGGTGGTTAGAAATTATGCAAGTGACTGCTGCTCTGGGAAGGTGTTGTAAGGCGACCACAGCCATGCCTTCCACAGACTGCAGTGTCTGTGTTGTCCAGCTTCAACAATAGTACATACCCTGCATAGAGGAAAGTAGATAGTCTGCCTTGCTTGTGTTTGGCTATAGCAGAAAATATGAATCACATTTAAGGTTGCAGCAGCTGCTGTTATGCTCAGTGCTTTCCACGTTTCTGTAGCTGTGGATGTTTGATGCGATGAATGCTGCTAAATATCGTTGGCAGGATTTCTGAATTTGTGTTTTTCCCACCTGCAGTTCTCAGACTCAGAGTGTGCCAAAAAGGCTTTGGAGCAGCTCAATGGATTTGAGCTGGCTGGCAGGCCGATGAAAGTTGGGCATGTAACTGAGCGCACTGATGCTTCCAGTGCTAGCTCGTTTTTGGACAGCGATGAGTTGGAACGAACTGGAATTGACTTGGGAACAACTGGTCGCCTTCAGTTGATGGCAAGACTTGCAGAGGGTATGTATGGTGATGAACAGGGAGTCTGCAAAATCCTGTGGCTTTATGCAGCTTGAATTAATCAATGTGTTGGTGCTTCCTGCTCAGGTACTGGGTTGCAGATTCCCCCGGCTGCACAGCAGGCTCTGCAGATGAGTGGGTCATTGGCATTTGGGGCTGTGGCAGGTAAGAAATGATCGCCTCCTTATTTGCCCAAAATGCTGGTCGTACTTGATGATTTTGAGACAAAGTGCTGAAATGCATCTTGTGATCTTTTAAGTTGGGAACATAGAACCACAGCGCATCTTAAGATTGAGGAAGTTCTCAAATCCGTGGGCAAATAAACAGTGGCAGCATGTGTCAGCTTTGATGGATATGCTTCACTTTGCATTACTTCTGCTGAATCTTTGTAGTTCATTTAATCATTACAGACCTTCATCTCTTCACTGTTCCCACTGCTAGTGGGAGCATTTATGTTCTGCTGCAGTGTAAATACTGGCTGTTAAAAGTGGCTGGCTCAAAACTGGAAGAGGATTGACTCTCTACAGAGTCCCTTCTGAAAAAACAACCAAAACAAAAGTCAGCTGTGCCAGGAGCAAGAAGGTTACTGGTACTCCATGGAGGACACTGCAGTAGCTAGGATCGTGTGATGCGTGTCCAGTGAGGTGGACACTGTACATCAGGGTGTCACGGTGTTGCTTGAGGAATGGCTGTAGCTCGTGTGCTTTGTTGTAAGAATTACCAAGACTTTAGCTTGAAAGGATGAGGCTGAGAACTGATTGTGCCTGCTGCTAGTTCAGTAGCTGGCCTGAGCCAAAATGTTCAAGAGGGCTTCAGGTAACTTTTACAGGAGACTTTAATACTGAAGCAAAAGGTGGCAAATCTTTGTAGCAGTAGAAAAGACTTGAGGGATATTGCAGATAACTGGCTGCTGGAATTTGCAAGAAGTGTCAGGAGACAAAGAAAGAACACGTGCATGGGATTTCTGTCTTCCAGCAGAGTGGCAGAAGGCATTCAGACTTAAGGTACACCTGAGTCACCTTAATGAAGTTCAAGTGCATTGTTGAAAAGAGCAAATGTGTGAAACTGGACTGTCCTGAAAAGAAAAAAAGGAAATAGTTTATATCCCCTGAAGTGGAAGGAAAGGGGTCTGAGAAGTGACAGAACGTTGGGAATTGAGAAACGAGTTCTTTATATTAATGAAGAAAGAGGTGAAAAAGACCAGGTGGCAAGGAAGAGGAGTAACTATTCCAAAAGAAGGAGGGTGAACAGCAGTAGCATGAGATCACCTTTAATGTAGGTGATGGTGATGTGACAGCCTTGCTTGGGAACAAGTGTGGTTGGTGAGAAAGGAGGAAAATGTTACAAAACAAGCTGTAATCATGTTCTCTCCTGTGTCTGAAGCAGGAGGCCACAAATGTGCTTAAGACATCTAAATCATTGGAATGGCATTGGATTAATGAGACAATGCAACTGTGGAGGAGTGAATTTTAAGGCTGAACAAAGTTTTTTGTATAATGTGCATGTTTAGCAATTGTAGAAATGAAGGTGGTAGGAGTATCACTGTTTGTTCCACTTGTATTGTGCATAAGGAATAATGCAATTATGTACAATTTGAGTAACTGTGGAGAAGGATAAAGCTTTTTAGAGTCATGAGCTGTCCCCAAAGTGAGATTTGGTTATGGATTAAAGATCTCTTTACTCTTGTTAGAGAAAATTACTACCAGGAATTATGTCATTGTGGGAGACTTTAACTTCCCTGATACAGATTGGAGAAGAATTGCTAGTAATAATGGTGGGGCCCAGATATTCCTGGATGTGATATCCGACAAATTTCTTCATCAAACACTCACTGACTCATGAAGAAGGGATGCTATTTTAAACTCATTTTGGTAAGTAATGAAGATGTTATGGATGAGAATAGCTTTGACCATTGACTGAGTGATCATGAATTGCTCAAGCTTAAAAGGAAGGATAAGGCTTGTGATTTCAAAAGTGGTGGTTGAAGAACTGAGGAAATAAAGTCAACTGCTCTGAGCAGAGTGAGTGTGTGAGCAGACAGGATGTAAGAAGTTTCTTCAGTTCCAAAAGCTAATGCTATATTGGATCTGTATCCTACAGAGAGAAGAGCCAGTCCTGTTAAAATTGGGCTCCACACTGATCTGGGTAATTAGCTCCAGAAAAATACAGGATAAGCACAGAGCCTGTGAAGAGTAGGAAAAGGGTAATAAAGATAATAAGGCAATAAAGAAGGCAGTGCTGTTAGTAAATGGTGTGATGAGAATTGCTTACCCAGAGTCAGGTTACGATAGACTTTGTGAAGATAAATGAGCAAAAGGGAAGTGTAGATGAAGATTTGTCAGATCTTGAAGACAACAGAAAAGCAGGGCTGAGGTTGAATGAAAAAGTACTTGAGGTGTTTCAGAAGAAGCTTATTCTCTCAGGTTGTAATGGGAACACTGGTCATAAAGTTTGGGATTCCTATCAAGTAGGAGTATGGATGATGAAAAAATGCATCTCGAGGTGGATGGGTCTAAAGAAGAGCTGCCTGTTGTCAGTTCAGGACAGTGAGACTCCTGTCAAATTAGTGAAGTAATCAGTACGTGAAATATGGGACACAGTGTCCAGTGTTATCAGTAAATATTGTAAGCCTGTGATATCATACATGGCTGGGACATCAGGTCTAAATTGCCTGCACTTTAAAAAAGGAAGGAGGAAGAACCTGATGTGGACAGTTGCCAGTCCTGTTATTCTGACTTCACTTTGTTCATTTAAAAGTCACACTAAAGGCAGGCAAGCTGAAGGCTATGGTTAAAATACTGCATACCTTCAGAAAACCTGCTTGGAAGCATTAGCAGTCTGTGAGTCAAGGAAGACTTTGATAGCGAAACTCTGCTAACTCCTGATTTGTTCATTTGGAATTGTAATCAACTTCCCAAAGAAGTTTCTGAGAAGGAGGCAGTATGTGCAGTGGGAACATCTGACAAGAAGCTGATTGACACAAATAGCGGATTTTTCCTCCCCAGATAAGACTGGGAACGATGGGATGTTGTTGAAATCTACTTCCAGTTTCTGATCTCATAAAATATTGCATGATTCACAATGGCAAAAAACAGCGAGGTAACGGTGAGTAAACAGAGGTGCTCTCAGTGTAGATCCATGGGCTGAGCACCTGCTGAGAACTGGTAGAGGTGCAGAGCATGTGACACAGCACCAGTGTCTGGCAGTGAGAAGTGTGATGAGTTGGAAAACCTGGGTTAGTCAGGGAGTGGGCATGAACTGCCTGTGATGTGCTTCATGTCTGCTAATTGGTGGCAAGAACTGCTTGCCTGTGTTTGGTATGTGCTGAATGAGACTGGAGATGGGGGGTGGTAAGTTACCTGGGGAGCCTGAGAGCTTGGATGTGACTGACATGGAGGGCATTCCAGCAGGAAAAAGAGCTGAAGCTAAACAGCTACAGCTGTCTGTTTCTTGTTCTCTAGGTAAATGTGTCTGAAAGTGGAAAATCAGGAGGCCGTAGAACACTTCATGTACTTTGTGGGACAGAATTTCTTTTCAGCAGATTTGATCTGCTGTTCTGCTGTAAATAATGAGAAAACTGGGAAACGTGGCATTTGTTTTCAAGCATTTGTTCACTTGAAGCTGGCTGTGCTTGAAAATGAAGCAGGTAATATTGCAATGTCTTTTAAGGCACGCAGTGCTTGGGTAGATATTCCTGCTGTATCTCTCCTGAGCGTGTGCAGAGTCATTGAGGTCTCCCTGTTCTTGCAGATAATACACAGGATGTACTCGTGGCTGAGTTTCCCTGGACACATGGTAACTTCAGTGTCCACGTCCTGTTCAAAGCTGCACCTAAGGAGGAATAGCCTTAGAAGAGTGACAGTGGAGTTCAAAAATGGAATGGATTTGGAGAGAAAATCCATTCTTCAGTCCTGAGCAGGAAGGATTCAAGTAGTTAATGAAAGCTTTTATGGATGGAGGAATATGCTTCTGAAGTGGCAGATAATTAACGTATGAAACATGTTGCTGCCAGGCATTGATTGGTGACCTTCTGTAAATGGAGCAGGTCTGTGAGCCCTGCCCAGAGCTGAGGGCTCTGTGTGGAGCTGTCACGTTGGGCACAGGAGGATGGGGCTGCAGGGTCCCAATGGCCAATCTTGGTGGGTGCAGCTGAAGTGATGTCAGAGGTGCAAAGGGAGAAGTCTGTCCTCATCTAACTAGAGAGATCTAAGAGATTTTGCTTATTTGCCTTTATTTTATTCAAACACTTTTTTTTTTTTTTTTTTTTAACCAAAAAACTTGGTAATTATTTATAGAATCACAGAATGGTTTGGGCTGGAAGGGACCCTTAGGTTCACCTAGTTCCAGCCCCTGCTCGAGGCAGGGACGCCTCTCCCTGTGCAGCCTGGCCTCGAGCCTCTCCAGGGAGTGGACATCCACAGCCTCACCAGGCAACCTGTTCCAGTGCCTCATCACCAGAACAGATGGTGAGATGATAGATTTGGGCACTTCTGTGTGGATCTCGTGGGCTTCTGTAGAGAATGTGCCCTAGGACGGCCCCCCGTTATGGGGTTTCTCTCTTGGTGGAGTGGAGCATTCCTTCCTGGTAAAAAGCCAGATGAGGAACATGCTAGATGTAGCTCAGCCTTCAGAGCTTTCTTTTAATCCTGTGTTTTATGTGCTTTCCCAGTGTGTGTTCTCTTGTGGAAGTCGTTTGGAAGGCCTTTGTGTCTCCAGGGCTTGTGCTGCCCATAGTGGTGTCACTGCCTCTGCCAGCATTCTGGAGCAGAGCTTGGAGGGGAAAAAATACCAGACAGGTGTCAGCCAATTTCGCCGAGTTTCCAAGTGGTCCATCATGTCATCACAGCTTTCTAAAGAAGTGAATTGTGATGATGACCCACTGCAAACCTCTGGCTCCCTGTGTTGGTGAGAATTGAGAAATTGAAACATGAGTGAAGTTCGTTTCCAGTGTTCCTAAGCTTTTTGTTGCTACTCTAAAGCTGAGTCAAGTATTTAAGTCATAAGACGTTGGGAAGTCTGTGTTCTTCTGCCCTGTTACTTCAAATAGGGACAGCTGTTATGCTTACGTGACAAATTACATGTTCTGAATGCTTGAAAATGTTTTGAAATGGAAGAGTACCAAAGGAACGTGTTGTGGTGAAGAGATAACAGGTGAAATAGCACCGTGTTTCTCTGACATAAATACAGTGACTGCTGTCAGAACGGTGGTTGGGTAACTGTGCTGAAATGCTTTCAGTTCAGATAGCAATTTTTCAGTGCCTGCAGGAATTGCTTTATTTTCTCATGGGAAAAGAAAATACTTAAAAGTCGAAGCACATTACTGACAAGGTGAGAACTGTGTTAAACTAAAGGGCACAGTCATGTCTCACTTTCCTTTTAAGGCATTGTTTCTCTTTGAAATACTCCTGCTTACCTACGTGGTTATGGAATATCCTGAGTACAGAATATCCCAGCTGAGGAGCTGGAAACAGGGAAATTTATTCATAGGAGCAGTTGAGAGCAGGCCTAGATTTTTGAGCAAGGTCTGAGCACAAAAGCACAAGCTAAACAATCTGTCTGGCAGGTACAACACAGGTATGGTAACATTCACAAATGTGCTAATTAACCTCTGTGTATTTCTCCTCAGATCTGCAAACAAGACTCTCTCAGCAGAATGAAGGTAACCTGGACTTTGATATAACTTGTCACCAGTGCCTTGTGTGCTGCGAATGTTGTCTCTAAGTGAAATGCTTTTGATGTGGAGATTGCCAGATTGCCTGCAGCCTGAGGAATTGTGCTGTCTGTAGGAACTGTGCTGACTAATGGCCACAAAGAGCAGAAAGCCTGTTGAATACTTGGCCTTTTCCATGGCATCAGCGTTGACTGACGCGTGCCCTGGGAATGCTGCTGGGAAATATCCCCGAGTCCCAGGATGGCTGTGTGGCTCCCAGCGCTCCATTGGGCCTGGGGCAGCCCAAGGGATGGGGCAGTCGGGCTTCAGGTGTGGCTTTGTTTTCCCCTGCATTAAAGGCAGGGGCTGGAAGAATCAGATGAGAAAATGGGGCGCTTGGGGTTGCTGTCTCTCAATTAGTCTTTACGTTGCGGCCTTTGTCCCCCTTGATTCTACATGTGTCGAGAGAAAGCAGCCTGTTTCACCTTAACAAACAGAAGCTTACAGCCTGTGAGAGAGCTGCTTTTGGACAGTGCTACGTTAATAAGATGCACTGTGGTGATTGGTAACAGCAGGTAATCAGTGATTGTTGGGTTACTGAGAGAACACAGAGCTGCGCTGAAGTTTTATCAGTTGCCGAGTGCTTCCTGCACTGCGTGTTTCTACAAAAGGTCAGATGTGTGCTTGAAGGATCCTTCAGTTTGCACAGAACAAACCCTGAGGATTCTCAGGGATGGACGGCAGTCCTGTGAAGTGAGGTGTGGGGCAGCCCTGCAGTGGCTGCTGGGCTGAAGGACGGCTGAGGGTGGTGCTGGGATGCACACAGTGCTCACGTGTGGAGACTTGTTTACACTGCAAATCCACCTCTGTGGTGGTGCAGGGTTCTTTTTTCTGGCACCAGTTGTAGCTACTCTGGCTTTTTCCACAGCGCTGCTTCCTGCCTTCAGCTGTCTGTTCAGTTAGAACTGTTGCTGATTGTGCCAGATAATCATTTTTTTAGAGTAGGTGGAAGCTCCACATTTAAATTGGAGCCACGTGTCGAGAATTCTGAGATTGATTAGTGTGTTTTCTTTCCCCACTGAACAGTTTTGGCTGCAGCTGCTTCTGTACAACCACTTGCAACACAGTGCTTCCAGCTTTCCAACATGTTTAATCCTCAAACGTAAGTGACCTCTTGCAGTTTCACTTCAGCTTTTGTTGATGACGTGTGAGAAACCAGTGAGAGCAGCAGGTGGGAGGGGTTTGGATGGATGGATTGGTTGTGAAGTGGGTTTCAGTGGGGGTAGTAATGTTTCCATTTCTATTCTGTTCCTCTTCCACCCCCTGCAGTGAAGAAGAAGCTGGCTGGGATACAGAAATTAAAGATGACGTGATTGAGGAATGTAACAAACATGGAGGAGTTATCCACATTTATGTAGACAAAAACTCAGCTCAGGTATGCCTGGCTCCAGGGGGCACTGATCTGAACAGGCTGCAGTTCTGTTGCTTTGTTCTGTATAGAGAGAACATTACAAAAACTCTTTTTTTCCCCCTAATCTGAATCTAATGATCTGAGTCTGAATGCCCTGAACGTGCTTAGCAGTTGTTCCAGAATGTAGTTCCCTTCTATTTTGGGTCATCGTCACTTTTTTTGGTGTTGCAGTCTGTTCTTACAAATTTCCACAGCTGAAGTTACTGTGGGATGCAGGCTGGAGAATAGCAGCCTGTTACTTCTGGCATTTCCTTGAACTGTGCATTTCCTAAGAGCCAGGGGCTTCTAGTTTCTTCATCTGCTGCAGAGTGCAGACTTCAGCTTCAGCACAAAGGTCGCAGTGCAGCAGCAGATTCAGATTTGCAGTGAATGTGCCTGGTCCTGTCCTTGGGAGCAGTTGTCTTCAGCAGCACTGTTAGCCAGGGCTCTGCCACCGTGCTGAGGGCAGTGGGGGGACCTGCGTCCTGGGAGCTGCTGCTGAAGGCTTCGTAATGAAGTGGTACTTGTGGAGGTTAGTGCCTTTCAAACAAAGAGATTCTTGAACGCCTGCACTTGAAAAACGCTAAGGAAGTTTTCTCCCTTGTTCAGTTGGCCTGTGCAGCCCCCAGACCAATCATCTCTTCCCCTGAATTTCCATTCCTGGCATATGAATTGCTGACATGAACTCTCAAACTCCTTTCCTATGGAATCCACACCTCAAACTGGAGTCCTGTATTAAAATGCTCACTGTCACATTCTCATTTCCAACCATGGAGCCTTCAGAGTGCTCTGCCAGGGTGACGGGCTGGAAGTTATGCTGCTGTCCCTCCCAGTTGCTGCTTAGGTAGGAGTGTGACCCTGGTGGAGACCTTCATCTACCATTGAGCTGCTTCTGTGGAAGTTTCTTTTCACCTGTGAGCCTTTCACATGGCTTGTTGAGGTGTTACATTTGCCATAAGCTGCTTTCTAATCCATAAGGCAGCATGCAGTCTTTGCTAAGACTTTCACTCTCCCAGAGAAGGGTTGTGTTGAACCGCTGGGCTGGTGGGTGTAGAAATGTTTCCCGTGGCACATCGGTCTGTGACTGCCATGGGTGCAGTGTCCTATTGCAGACTTCATATTTATTAACTTTTAAGCCTTTGACATTGCACGTGGATTCTGAGCTGCAAATTTGGCCCATTGTAATTCATAAGGGAGCTGTAATTTTATTTCTTTTACACACACTCGTTAGGTTGTGTGAAATCCATTTTTAAGTCTAACACAGGGACGGCTCTGATACAAAATACCCACTGCTATTTAGAAATACTTTGTTTGAACATAAACTTCAGCTGTGCTGTTCTGTGGGCTTAGATTCTCATCACATGACCTCACTTCTGGTCTCTGATCTCTGGCCTTTTGGGGATGTTTTCCAGACAGTCAGACCTGTGGCTCTGAGGGCTGTCGGTAACAGCAGTGCAGGCATCATTGGTGTGGTGAAAAGATCTTTGTCCCAACTGAATACGTACATTTCTCCTGGCTCTTGCAGTCTGTGGTGTGTTCCAGGGAAATTAAAGCTTTGCATTGCTGTGTCCCATTTAGAGGTTTAAGCAGCTGGGATGTCTGTGCGGGGGGAGGCTGAGAGCGGAGCCGTGTGTTCCTCAGTGCCCACGAGCATCAGCTGCTCACTGCCCCGTGGTGGACTGCAGGAGCCCCTGGGAAGGAGTGATACCACCATGGAAAAGATGGGTGCAGGCTGGAGAAGGCTGCTGAAGGGAGCTGTGTTCTTCTTATTGATACATACTTCTCTTCTAAAACCTGTTCTGGCTTGAGCGCATCATGGCTCAGCAGTTACTGGTAGTATTTTATTTAACTGTGTAGCCTTAAAAATGCACACGTTGCTGTGGGCTTGTGTGTGTTCTGCAGGTTTTGACTGCGAATGTCGCAGTACTTTGCTTCAACCTGGGCTAGTGCTTAGTCTGCAGATAGAAAGCTCCAGCTGTCTGTGGCAAAGACAAATTTCCTAATTCATTCATGTTAGTGAGCACCTTGGGCTGTTCTGAAGTTCATGTACTGATACTTGGGGCATCAGCCTTCTTTGAAGTGCTGGGTGGTTGTGCTGTCGCTGGGCGCAGAGTTCCTGCGCTGTCCATCTGAAAATTAACCTGTAAGCTGTTGCATCTAGAGCAGCTGGTGGTGGCTGGGATTTCATAGAATCCTGGAATGTCTGGGGTTGGAAGGCACCTCAGGGGTCACCAAGTTCTGGCCCTCTGCCACAGGTGGAGCTGCCAGCCCCTACGTCCAGTGCCAGGCCTGGTTGCCCAGCGCCCCGTCCGGGCCCTGAGCTCCTCCAGGGATGTGGCAGTGTGCAGCATCTTTGGGCGGCCCGTGCCAGCACCTCACCTCTCTCAGTGAAAGCTTCCCCCTGACATCTAATGTAAACCTTCCTCCTCAATTTTAGAACTACTTCCCCTTGTGGATTTCCCCCCCTATTTATGATTTCCCCTTAAATATCAGAAGGCTGCACTGATGTCTCCCCGCAGCCCTCTCTTCTCCATGCTAAACACTTGCAGCTCCTTCAGCCTGC